CCCCGCTCCAGCAGGCCGCAGAGAATGGGGGTGAGAGAAGACTCCAAACGCCAGTGTTAAATAAACAGCCTGATACAGGAACAGCATTGGTCTCCATAGATAATTTACTCCTTCATAACAGCTGTCTTAACCCTGTGTTGTACAAAATAAAGATAAGAGGAAAAAGAAAAGTCATTATATGCAGATGACACATTTTTATTTTACTGGACTTTGTTTGAATTCAGAGACAAATATAACAGCTGTCCAGGTGAGGATGTTTCTGTACCTCACCTGTTTAAATTATATTAAGGCTTAAGGTTTGCATTACTAGGGGCGTAGTCTCTCCGACTGACAGGTGGATGGTGACACAGGTGGGTGTAGCTGCTAGCTTCACCCGAACAGCACCTCAGCACCATGTTTGTGCTGCTTGAGAGTTTTGAAGCATTTTAATGACATCATGTGACCAATAACATGGCTGCTGTAAGGTCACTGTACTAACAGATTGTGCAGGAAGGCGTAGCTCCAGATTTAGTGCAGGGGAAATTTCTAGGATTTTGATTGGCTGTTACTGATTAGGTGGTGTAGCTGATACCTTAGCACACCCTCACGGTCACTTCAGTCTCCAGAAAACACGACTGGACTCTGAAGCTTGGATATGTTGAGTTCAAAACTAGCCGGTGCCTTGACCTCCACCTTTTTTAAATCTTTGTCAACACAGTGGTGCAGAGAGAGAGGAGTATCCTTTGTTGTCCATCCTTCTGCATGCACGATGACAGTCATATGGAGTCACACAGAAGTAAGGAATAAGAGACTAAAGGAAATGGAGAAACTGTGCAAATACCAGCAGGATGTTGGTATTTATTGACTTCATAACCAGTGATGGTTATGAAGTCCATCACTGGTTATGAAGTCTAACGGGGAGGAAGGACCTGTGACAGAACTGGACCTCTCCAGCTGTGTGTGTGTGTGTGGGGGGGCTCCTGATGAGCTTATCCAACTGATAGTCGATAACACTAACACACAGCATGGCTGACGCCACCCTAAGAAGCGCGTCCTCCGTCTCCTCAGCAGGTGGAGTCTGCTCTCAGTCTTCCTGTAAAGAGCATCAGTGAACACCCAGGTACTTCATTACTGTACCTGTGTAGAACTTTCAGGTATCTGTACTTTACTATTTATTTTTCCCTGAAACGTTTTACCCCAAACATTTGTACACAAACATCTGTTCTTGCTCCTCCTTACATTGTCAAAACAGGCTTGTTGCTTTAGGTTTAACGTCTAAACGTCTTGATCCTAAAACCTGTAGGTTTATTGATCACTGAGGGATGTCCCACAGAGGTGAAACCTTTAATTTATGTATCTTTAAAGCGCATTTCTCAGAGGTTAATGGTGTTCACGGTGCAGATGTTAATAAAGTTGCAGTACTTCAGCGCTACAGAAGAGGAGCGGGCATAAAGGGAGGAGCTCAGCAAACATCAGCAAACACACAAACTGCTGGTGTGTGTGTTTGTCTCAGTATGTGTGTGATCTGAAGGTCCAGCTGCTGGATCACAGCATGAGATGGAGAGAGGGGGAAGAAAGAGGGGGAAGAAAGAGCACAGGGAGGAAGAAGACCGTTGGATTTAAACAAAAGGACTGTTCTGTAACTCTGTGTTGTTGAACAGGTCAGCTGATCACAGCCTCACTGCTGCTACAGCCACGGAGAGCTCCTCCACCTTCTTACACCATGTTGTAACAGCTGATTTCTGTTTATGGTGGAGGTGTAACCCCACTCAGTCTCTATGTCCGGTGCTGTATGAGTAAAACTCTCTGGACTCAAGATGGGTAGAGCTCAGGCGTGGTTTATTCCCCTTTTGTGGGTCTCTGCAATAACATGGGACATGAATAACCATGGGTTTCTAACGGGATAAGCTTAGGGAAAACCAGCTTACCAGTAGCAGACTTCCATTGCAGATTTTCAAAATAAAAGTTTCAAAATCAAATCTTTCAAAATAAACCCATGGTTGCGATCCCAAGTTTAACAGGAATTTAACCACAACAAAACCATGTTCATTCTTTTACATTGTTACAAAGGCAAATTACAAACTTCCTGCCCTGACGCAGAGTGTGAGCTGATAGGGATCACACCAAAGAGTTCAAATGAACTGAATAAAAACAGCAGAGTGTTGTGTTGGGTTCTTGAATGAAGACTCCTGCTCATGCAATAACATGGAGCAGTATATTTTTAATAACCATCTTCAAGGCTGTTTCCATGCCAAACCATTTCCCATTTTGTGGGTAAGTGGCACATGCATATACAATCTATATAGTACCGCCCTATACAATTAGGGCGGTACACTCTCTCACTCGTAGCTGCATAATATTTTTTTTCAATACAGACATACCCAAACATAAACTTTGCTATTTTCATAAACACCCTTTCATCACTCTCTTAACCCAAGTTAAAAATAGTATGGGCTCAAATTGTGGTCATAAATATTTTGTACTTGCAAATCAGGATTTGTAAAAAGAATTTGTGTGTGCGTAAAAAAGATTTGTGAGTGGACTTAGCCAAAAAATACGTGTGGAACTCTGCACTCAAGTTACAAGTATAAATTTTGACCTTATTTTTCTTCCTTTCATCTGATTGGCCAATGTCATGTCAATCACAAATATAACTATCCAATCAGATGAACAGATGGGTTTGGCTATTGGAGGAGGCAGGAGGATTAGAGCTCCTCTGCATGTTGTGTTCACTTTAGTGATGGTAAATTTGATCCTTTTTACTGAATCGAGTTTTAATGAGTCACTCACCAAAGTGAATCGAGTTTTTTGAGTCATTTGATTCACTGAGTCAGTTGACCAGAGAGTGCAAAAAATTTACATTTTCACTCAAACTTAATTAGTTTCTCTTTTCATGTAAATCCCACTGCTAAGATGAATGATTCTAAAAAAAAAACAACTATTTTATAGAGCACAAAAGAGCAAAAACATTTCTAAAATTAAGCAATTTCCTATCAAAATTGCTTAATAAACATTTATTTTGTTTATTTGTATTTTATTAGTATTTTTCTTAAATGTGTCAAATATATATTTTCTCATCTAAATGTCCACTGAGCTGTGGGCCAGGGGGCGGTAATGCGCCTTAACATTGGTTGCCAACCAAGAAGAAGAAGAAGCTGTGAGCCAGGAGGGAGGGGGTGAGTGAGTGAGTGGCTGTATCCCAATTCAGGGTCTGCAGCCTTAAAGTACGCAGCCTCAACGGTCCACAAGGGCCGAGTACTCAAAGACCACTAAGGCCGGAAGTGCGAGGCTTGTGAAATGGGCTCCGTTGCGCTGCCCAGGTTGCCTAGCAACCATGATACTAACAGCTGGAAACGTGTCATACCGTTTTATTTGACAGAAATGAAGGAGAAAATCTTTTGTTCATTTGTTTGTTTGTTTCTACATGAGCTTTGATCATTCTCTGTAAGATTAAGCTCAGCTATTGAACGGCGTATATTTTAAAGTAAAGGCTTTAAGTTAGTACAAACGTCACTAATGTCACATAACTTTACCGACATGTGGCCAACAGTAATGTTTTAATGTTCTTCGTTATTAAAGATTTG